AAAAAAACTAAAAAAACTAAATGTCCAGGAGTCTAGCCCTGTAGTTTTACAAAGAAAACTAAAAAAACTAAATGGCTGGACGTTTAGTTTCTGTGCGAACTGACACGCGCAACGAAATAAATGCGGAACGTCTCTCTAACATATATATATATATTATACAAATTATTACAAATTTAAATATTGAGAAGATGTCGTGAAAAAGACAGTATTGCCGTAATCATCCAGGCAATGCATTTCATCCTCCTCTCCGCTCCCAAAACTGGGCCTCCCAGTCCCCTCCAGTCTCCAGTCCTTGGCCTCCGCCACTTTTACTGCACTAACCTTCGCCGGTGACCTTCGTCAACCTCATCGAATGTCGCCGGACTTTCAGCTTGAACCTCATAAAGGCAGGTGCCGATGTTATCGCTCGGCGGCCGGTTCGGTTGGATGGTATCTTCTCATCGTCAGCCCTCCCGGGTGTCGAGAACCCAAACTCGCTGGTGTGGCTTGGACGAAAAGCATATCACCGAAAAGAAGCCCCTTTGACATCCTTCTAAGGATAGGAAAATTACATATTTTACAGTAGTTGATCCTCCCAAAACAGGGGTCACTCAAGTTCTAGGTATAGTCGCCACAGTTCTATTCCTGCAAAGGACCGAACACCTAGCCGCTCACTTACTCGGCCGCCAGCACGAGTTCAAAGATGGATTTGGCGGCGGCATGTGATCATCTGAATGGATGAACCCAGACTTGATCTGAAAGCACTGTCACATCGTTCGTTGTTTCATGTTGTTTGAAACCGTATGTCACGATTTATGCTAGATTATGCTAGTTAACGCACCAACTCAGGTTTGAAGAGTGGCGCTCTCCCGGAAATCAGGCGTGCAGCCCTAAGGTCAACACATGGTCTGTTTGCTGGATGGTCATCTTACTCTGCCTGCCCGCCTTCCATCGGTGAACATGCCCATTGAACATTTCCGCCGAGCACACGCCCGCAGCCCGTCGGATGGTTTCAACGAGAAAGACTGCGGAAATGGGAGATCAGTCTCCACCTGTAACTAGAACTTTGAGCTCGAGTACCGAAATAAACATACCCGGACCGTGGTTTTGAGAGTTAGGATGTAGTTGGATTCATACCCTCAAGCACATAAACTTCCCTGTGAAGAATCTGTTGGACATGGCAAGTCTGTATCTTCAAAAAAGCATGAGGGGTTGGACATGTCCAATGAAGCCCATCCCCAACTACTTAGTAACACGGGTCTCCACTCGATGCTTTGAACAAGTTCAACTATATGTTTTGCTGGGGGAGCCCTTACATCCTCTAATGCATGTTCTGTTGAAGATGTTTTACGACCACAACAGGTCCGAAAAAAAGGTGTGCTGGCTCGTGGCCTGCAGCCATCCTGGAGCCCAGAACCCGTTGAGGGGTCGGATCCGCCGCAAGAAGTGGGTCACAAGCACCCACCACATTGACCGAATCGGTTTATACCGATCCTTAACCCCAAGTGATCGTATAAGGTCGTAGAGAGTGACTCCCCTTATATAACACCACCCATGGTCTAAGGGACATGGTCTTCTACGGATGAATTCTCAGGTTCCATGCGAGTTTGCAGGGGTATCATGTTCACTGCAAAAAGACATCATCTTTTCCAGCTTGTCCCACCAGTCTTCACGGCTTTGAGACGCTCGTGCGTCTCGAGAGACGCACGCGGGGCGGTGTTCGGCGGATCGCGCGGCACCTTTCCGGACGTTCAAGCAGTGAAAGCACGCAAGGAAAAAACGTGCGATTGGGCATCGGAGTCCGAGTCACGGCTTGGTTAGGCAGGTGGTGGGGGGTCGAAAAAGAGCGCGTGAAGATGGCCGTTTTGCGAGGTCGGCGGAAGAGGTCAAGGCCACCATGATATGGTCTTCTGACAACGACCAGTGGAGGGACGTTTGGTTGTTTGATTGCATTGTTTGATTGCACCAATTCCCACGATGAGTGTAATGTTCTATGCGTTGCTTTCATTCTGCATCAGTCTGACCATTTCACACACAATAAGGGAGTCTGACCTTCATCCAGAAAGCAAACACGCTGGCACCAAGTGTCTAAAACGCACAAAAATCATTTGGATCCATGCCAAGTTGTGGTACTCCCTTGACTCAGAACTGAGTCCTTTGAGGAATCAATACCCTTTCAAGGATCCATCCAAAGGCAGGTTGGCTATGTGGACTTCATTCTTCAAAAACCCTCCAGTGTTTCTGTTACTAACCCATACCTTACCTTGGATTTGTCCCATTTGGGTGCGCAATTTAGAGGCAAACCGCAAACCCCCAACCAATGGGTAGACTGGCCTATGTTCCTTCTTCCAGGGGGTCGAACTTGGAGGTCTCCCCAATCAAACCAAAGATCATGTCAGCCAGAACACCTCACAATCCAAACAATCACAAACACAGTTTCATTGAAACACTCCCACTCAGTCTCATTGTCCCCACCAATATCCTTTATGGTTGGAACCCTCCATATGGACCTTCTTTTACACCCACCATATGTTTTCCCAATGTGTGTGTGTGTGTCCGAGTGTCACCTTTCATGACCGACACACGCACCGAAATACGCTTAACTTTGCTGTGTCTTTCCTCATCGGTTCTCACATAGCAACGTTGAAGAACCCGAGTTTGACTATCCCAGTTGGGTACCCCAGCTGACGGGTTCTAAAAGGCAGGTCACAAAAAACATCTCTTGGTACGAGTAGCTGACGGACTCCGACGCACGACTTTGACTCGAGGACTGCTTGGAGTAACTTCGTGGCTGCGCTGTCGCTGAACCTGCATTGAGAATGGGACCTGACGCCAAAAAGACGGTTGAAGGATCTTCCTACAGGTCCAGTCTGACCCATTAAATCTGGTCATTTACCTCATAGTACGTACAGTAGTGCTCTTGTATGACCAGCTCCAGCAAAATGAGGTCTTGGACCTGTAGGGTATGATACAAACTCTTCTCTTCCAGGTGCTCCATGGTTTTTTCCTGCTGACAAACAAGCTTGATGTTTAATAAATGTACCTATTGTCATTTGCAGTCATTTGCGTGCTTTCGATGGTGTTTCGGCATGTGTTCGGCATGTTTGCGGCTAGTACGGAGTCGGAAAACGTGAGATGCACTGTCTTATCCAACATGTTACGGGTACAAAAAGCTACCAGGACCTTCCCAGTGACCTTCTGAGATCCCAGAATGAGGTCACTTACCAATCCTGAAGAGGTCACGAGTGGAAGGTCCTGCTGTTCATCCGTTTTCTGGTCTCGGATGCATCGTTTTTTTTTTTTTTTTCGACGGCCAACAGCACAACCTCCGGAGTGTCCTCGAACCGACCTACAACTGCAAGTTCTGAACTCCGCCGGTGGAGTTCCGCCTATGTACATGGGCAGCGGCCCTAGAAATCACCATAAGCCATTCAGCATAAGGATGCATAAGGGCTCAACAACTATCAACACAGCCACCTTAGACAAATGCCCTACCCTAGTGGTCGAAAGACTACGATATTTTGCCCCCAGTGAAAAAAAGGAATCGGACTCTCAGGGATTCTCAGGGCATAGACTGACATGTAGGAAATCTCTTCGAATCTTCGATCTTTGCCACACTTGTCAGGATCAAGCCCGGTCTTCTGCCACGCTTTGGATCATGCTGCCTAGGCCTAGACTGAAATCCTTTAAACCTTCAAATCATTCTGCCTTTATATAAAGGATCATTCTGCCTATCGCTCGTGCCCAGCTGCGTCACACATCTGCCACACCCGTTCGCTTTGCACACCCGAACTCGCGTCGGGAAACGGACGCGTTCGTGGGGGGCGAAATGGAGTTTTTGCGTTCGAGTGAGCGTTGGTTCGGCCCCTCTCAGCTGTCGTCGCAATCGCCTGAAAGGGCGAGGGTCCAGTCACACCTTCTGACAAGGTACGAGCCCTAGGGAATATAAAATAGAATAAAACAAACTTTTGTGACTCACCAACGTCTGATAGATAAGACACTCGACCTAGTCTGGGTTCTAGTCATTATCTACTTTCCTTCTGGGGGATCGGTCTCCACGATGAACTCTTGGGGACGGGACCCATCGAACAACGACACTGAACAGCTACATGTGGCTGTACGGACATGGATTCCACGATGTGTGGCTGTACGGCATGCGTTTTGTCAACATGAGTTGCAAGCTATGGTTGTTTTCCACTTTCCAAGAGTCGCACTTTCAGCTCACCAACAATTAACATATGCTTGGCGGATCCAAGTAGCAGCAAGATCCATGCCACGGTGCCTTTGTTTACTCAGCTACTATATGCTACTATGCAACTTATGCCTATGCTGCTAGAAACACCACCGGTGAACCTGAGAGCCTCGGGGACCGGTAAAGCCTCACTCTTGGGCGACAGACCGAGGAGTCTGTCGATAGACCAACCCACGCTGGAAGGAGTCAGGCTGAACAGTTGCATGGAGTTGACTATTTGCTCATCTTGGATTCACAGACTCCAACCTTAAGCTTCTGCAGCCCAGCCAAGAACGACCTTCACCCACCAAGTCTGTCTTTAGCACATCTCGCTCGACCCTGCAAGAGCGCTTCTTTTTTGCGGGGTCCTCAGCTCCGGTCTTTGGCCTCTGGACTCGATCGTCCCTAGTCCGGCCGATCTTCAAATCTCCTCTTCGAACTTCCGGCTCAGATCGTGGAGATCAAGAGAGATGAACTTCTCTTGTCGCCAAAGTGCAGTTCTTGCAAAGTCATGGGCAAAGTGATACCTCTCAAGAGTTTCCGGTGCACCGGACCCAGTTGCAAGGTCCGAAGGCCTTGGCGCTACGGCGTGGGTACGGCGCGGGAGGCGTAAGCGTGGTGTCTGAGGCGTATGGTGACTGGGACTCCAGTTCGGTGTTCGTGCGTGGAAGTGTCCCACGCAGTTTGAAAAGGGGCAAGTTAAGCATACAAAGCATGCTGTGTAAAGCTAAAGGATCTGAAACAGTGTGGAAAGGAACAGAAAGAAAAAGGGGCAACGTCGAATCAATGATATAAGGTACGGCAAACATCGGCTAACCACAGGCAAGAGGCTGGGAAGCCGGGCTATGAAGTCCAACGATTGCTTGAAATAGAAGCCAAGCACAAGTCTCTGCAAGGTCTCAGGAAGAGAAACTGTGTCCAAATTCTGGTTAAAGGCTTCACCAAAGCTCAAGTTCTCAAGGCTGCTTGGAAGGGCCACATGCTCCAAGTGTTGGTTGAATCCTGTCCCAAACGTCAAGCTCTTGAGACTGTTGGGCAGAGAGATGCCATATAAACTTTGATCAAATGCAGAACTCAAGGTAAGACACAAGAGGCCCTCAGGCCAAGTCACTTGCTGCAGGCTTTGGTCGAACAGTAGGCCGAAGCTCAAACTCTGCAAAGAGTCTGGGAAAACCACCCGCGTGAGGTCCTGATCAAAATCATCACCAAAGCGCAAACTCTGAAGACCGCTTGGCAAAGACACCTGTCCAAGAGGTTGATCAAAGCTGTTGCCAAACGTCAAGCTCCAAAGACCCCTCGGCCAAGTGACAGCTTCCAAACTCTGGTTGAAGCTATCACCCAGCGTCAGGCTTTGAAGCTTCTCAGGCAAGCGCCCGTGCCCGTCCAAACTCTCATTGCTGTCAAGCGTGAGGCTTTGGAGGGTGGATGGAAAAGTAATTTGATCCAATTTTTGGCAAGGACCAAGGCTCAAGTTTTGAAGGCCGCTGGGTAGACTCACATCTCTCAGGCTCTGGTCGAAGCTCGCGCCAAACACCAGCGTTTCCAGGTGTGGCCACACAAAGCCATCGATAGGCTGATTGAACCTCTTGCCAAAAGTTAGGCTCCTCGGACTTCGGTGGACCGCACTACAATCATATGTTACATGTTTTTTGCAATCATCTTTATACATTGCAAAACAAATCTTAATGAACCCCAAACCCAAACCGGCTTACCCCAATGGACCGGTTTTCAGAAAGAACATCGAACTCGCTCGGTCCATCGTTGGGACGCCTTCGTTCGGAGCGGGTCATGTGTGGTGGACGCACAAAGCTCTTCTCTTTCTGTCGGGGCTCTTCAGGCCAGGCACTGCTGTACACCAAACGCGCTGATTGAAGCTGTCCCCGAACTGCAACACTTCCAGAGAGGGCCAGGTCACTTGGTCCAATGGCTGATTGAAGTCGTGGCCAAAGGCGATGATCTTCAAATTCTTCGGCCAAACCACCCCTGAGAACAAATGATCTGATTGAACAAACATTGAGGAGGAATGTCAAATCTACGCCTGATTGAAACACAAGTCAAGGGAGTATTGCTCATGTCCAGTGCCAGTACTTCGCGAAAACTTGGATGTTTGTTAAATTAACGCATGAAGAGGTCTCTTTTTTGTAATTAGTCCATGTACCATGTTCATGTACCTTAATTATATGATATGTCTACCAAACTCATCGAAAACATCCGCCCTTCAGAGCTAGGGCCGCTAGGGAGTCTCCACACGAACATCATGGGATGGCTACTGTCGGATGGTGTATGATATTGTCTGACTCCTTAAATATTGGAACTTTACAGGGTACATGTACCTAGTTGAATAACACACGCACATGGGAGACTGCAGATTCGGTGGAACAAATCGCTCAGAAGCATGAAACGCTCACTAAGACGAACCTTTCCGGTGCAAAAATGACTGCCTTCGAAACACTCAGCAACCCTCTCCTTCAAGGCTTTGGTTGAAGCCATAGCCGAAGCGAAGGCTTTCAAGGCAATTTGGAAGAGTAACCCCTTCCAAGCCTGCAAATGATTCTTGTGACTGAAGATGCATGAGAAGGTCTCACTTCTACGATGAACAAGTTTCGCACTTCAGCTGAAATCACTGTTTCCCCACGCTCTTCTTTGGGTCATTCATAGTATGTCAACTATGTAAAGCAATGTCTATGGCACTATGGGACTTGATCATTTGACATCGGTAGGTCGGGTTGAACAACATCACTCGCTCAGAACTTCCCAGAGCTGCAATTGTTGGCAAAGCTGGCTTGGTTTGACCAAACAATGTGAGAACAACACACATTCTCTTAGCCTTAGCCCCTCCAAGTCCACTGCAACCAGTATCATCCTCTGGTGGGTAAGCCTTGTAAACAAGTCTAGCAAAAGCCGTCATTTGAACACCAAACACATTCTTTTGGAAGTCCTCTTTGAGCAAGCTCTACAAAATAGATTCGTTTCGAGCTCCAAAGAACTCTCCCTTTTGCGATGGGTGAATAAGTCCTGAATAAGACCCAAAGAAGGGTTCACGATGCCTTTGCAGTGCAAGCACAATCTAGATAATCTACACATATTCACCAACAAGCAGGTGGAAGCTTTAGAGGGAAACAACTGCAAGTTTCATCTGAGATGCATCTATATCGACCTTCCCCGGCCAAAAGAGCTTTCTTCCACACTGTAAGCGAAAATCATCCATCTGAGCGATGCTGAACATCCGCGACACGAACAAACAAATGACCTTTCAACAGGAGTCCACCCAGCTTCCTGGACGCCCCCGGGGGTTTGGAGCGACGGCGAACAAACCGCTCGTTCTTGTCTCCATCGTGTCCAAACGTGGTGCAGCGACCGAGGTATTCTCGTAAACCCACAGCGACCGTGGCCCGTTCGACCGAAGTAAGTGGGATACCCGCGGATCCGAAGGGCTCGATGCCCCGAGAACGTGCAGAACGGCTGGGAACCAGAGAACGGCTGGGAACCAGCGATCGGCTGGGACCAGCGGCCAGCGTGCGAACGCCCAAGACGTGGGGCCAAAGACGGAGGAACGCCCAATACGCCAGGCAACTCTGGCTGAAGTCATCGCCAAAACCTCAGTTGCGATTGAACATTTGAACTTGTTGGAACGATGAAAAAGGCAATTGAGAAAAAAGCAGATGGATCTGGCCCCTCTCACTGAATTAGGCCCCAGGAATTCCAATGCTGCAGGAAAGTATCAAGCGCCTGGTGTTGGGCCATGTGCGCACCTGTGCTTTTCCTGTTCATGGTCTAACCCGGTAGTAGGCCATAGTAGGTTCAGGGGACCCAGGGGCAGTGTATGCTCCTTCCATAATTCCAGCCCCCCACCCTCTGATTCAATTATCCTAGGCGCAAAGGTTTTTCTACGTGTATGTGCCTATGGTAATTCTAAATACATATGTTGAACATTGTTAAACACAAACATAAAGGACTTCGGAGTTCGCGTCAACGAATGCCCCTTTTGCCCAGGCCAGTAGATTCGAGGTATGTGTACAATCGATTTCCAGACTGAATTCCATATAATCGTCAGAATAAACCAGTACAAACCACATCGCTATCGCTATGAATAAACCAACATGCATGTTTTTTTGAATCACCGACTGACTTGGAACCCCACCCCACTGGATGATTCAATTTTAAGGGGTGGGTCTATTGTCACCAACAAACATAATATATAACAATATAGTAGTCATAGTGTTTTGTTTTCTTTGTATCAAAGCAATTCCATCCGCATTTCTCCAGGAACTGCGCAGTTACCTTTCACAAGGGAAAACCACGGGCTTCAGGGGGGTTCCGCCCCTTTTAGTTGGTGAAATAAGCCCGCCCACGATCGTGCATGATAAACCTCGTCCCCATCCGGGCAACTGAGGCTCCGCAAAGTGCTGGGCCAGCTCACCTCCCTCAAGCTCCGGTTGAACTCTTCTCCCAGTTGAAGCTCTTGCAGAAACGCTGGCAACGACTCTAAGGGATGGATGAAGTAGTCACCAAAGCTCAAACCTGCAGCACCAGCGCCCTTCCGCTGTGTTCCCCCCAAACAACCTGGTGTTTTTTGTGCGCTGAAACAGAAACCGGAGCGTCCGTCACGGTCTGGGCCACGTGCTTAACTTGAACAGCCGCCATCCTACGGAACGCAAGAAAAACACGCGCCGTCTTGGTCCTTTTCGGCAATGTTTTTCCATTTTTGGCCTTACTCGTTGGACAAACTGGCCAACTGCGTTCGAAGACTTTGCGCCCATTTCTCTGGGTGCTTCAGCTAGGACGAGCCCGGTTTTTGTGGCGAAGTATGCTTAAAACAAGAACTACTTTGTATGTTCACGTCTCTCCTTCTCTTGGACGGAATGTTAGTATACTTTCACCATCTTTCACCAGTTGCTTCAAGACGCCTCTTGGAAAGTCTGCATTTTGCGCCAAGGCTTCGTCAGAGCCCAGATCGGGTTTCTTGTCTGTGAAGCCGGGCATAGCGTCCCGGCCTTCTCTCATAGGTGGCATCGAGGCTGCACGCTAGTTTCAAAACACTTGATATAACCAGCACGAAGAACACTCGGAACGATTTGTCCTTTGCCTTGACGACACCACCACAGTTTCAAATTGCAATCAATTCTCCTTTGACTTCCTCACACTTGCAACCAGCTTTGCATCTTCGCTCGGCCACGCCCTCAGTTTCTGGCTTTTGTGACGTTCCATGCATTCTTTTTTTCAAGCTGCAAAGTTAATTGTTCTTGCATGGGGGACCAACCAAGTTGTGCCTCAGTGTGAGAAGGAGGAAGGAAGGAAGGAAGGAAGGAAAGAAAGGAAGCAACGAAGGAAGGAAGGAAGGAAGGAAGGAAGGAAGGAGGGAAAGAACGTTGTTTGGACTAAATCGATGGAATTGGATTTAGTGATCACACATATTGAAGCGTTGTGTTCATCCCCAAAAAGACTTGACATCGGCAACTTTCCAAACAAAAGTCAAACACATTCAAAACCGCTCATGCGGTTGGTTGAGCCTATTCCTACGCCGAAGCAATACCATCACCGAGAGACCTTGAAAAGACTGAACTGACATACACGGCACCGACCAACTGACATACACAGGATCGGAATATGCGACTGTCCAAGACTTAGAGCGTCTCGATTGCTTTCGATGGAGTAGCAATCTGGCTCCATTTCAGTGTATATGAGCTCGGAAATGGAGCTAAACCATCTTTCACTTATACTTTCAGGAGTAGTGGAACGCCGAACTGCTGCTGGAGTGGTACAGTTGTTCACTGAGTGGGTTCTACTTCTTACAGTAATCGATATCCCCTTTCGAGACAATTGGATTAATAGATCCATATGTCGCAGGACACATGAGATACAGCTTCGCATCAAACCGGTGAATCTGCGCATCCAACATGGGATGTGATCATCCCATCTTCAGTTGTCAAAGAAGTCAAAAAGATCAAAAAGGTGAACTGTTGTGCATGGAACATCTAAAAATAGTACACAAACACATATGCGCAACATAAGTCTCGTCTATCAATCTATCTCTGCCAAGTAGCACTCCAAGCTGCTCGGCCATGAAATCCCGCTGAGGCTTTGATTGAAGTCCCTTGCGAAATTCAAAGTCTTCAATGTCTCAGGCCATTGAACCTTCGTCAATGTCCTCACTTCGTCCAGCAATGAGGACTGCGATTGAACATGTTACGCTCGCCTACAATTGGTTAAAGGAAAAAGAACTCCAAAAGCTTCTGGGCTTTGGCTTCGGCTCTGGTTGAAACTTCGGCCGAAGGACAGCCTCTGAAGCTGCTTGGGGAATACCACTCCTTTGCGAAGCCAGGCGAGAGCGAGAAAGACCGATACAAAAATGCTGGGGAAGACCCCTCTCAGAACTCTTGGTCCAAATTCCCACAGAATCGGTTTCTTTGGAGTTTGCCCCCCAAACAGTATCCTTTGGGATTTGAGCCAAATGCTCACCTACATTTATATAGGTCATTTATATACACTCCAAACCTTGACCCACTCCACAAGAAATCCTTATCTCACATGGAACACATGCAAAAACGTGCTGTTTGATCCTCATTGTTTACATCCATGGCTCCTTCCAACGGCTCATTAAACTCGTCATCGAAGCTCAACGTCTCCTTGGATTGGCTTTCAGGGACTTGAAAAAAATCAAATATCTTACGTCTTACCATCTCTCATCGACAAATCTTGCCATGCTTTATTGGCTGATAGATGGTAAGACGATGTAAGACGTATCAGTGGCTGAAATATTGGCTCCTCCCAATCTTGTCACGGTTGGTCTATGGTAGTTGATCTGCTGGATGTCATTGAAATTGAACATAAACAGCCGATTCAATACCAAAAACACACACAGCCCTCAAGTGACCCAAACCACTATGCCCAAGCACTCCATGTGTAGCATATCCATCGGAGTTGTTGAAAGGGGGTCGACACTTGGGATGGCCATGGACTGTCTGGGGATGGGCACACATCCCATCTTTGGGACGTGGGAACCCCAAAAAGCCGCATGCCCTTCCATGACCCGTGGTAGTCTCAAATGAGTGTGTAATGGGTGTGTATTAAAATAAGCTCCCAGGCAACGACCCCCTGGAAGAAGGGAAATAGATCAGTCTACCCATTGGTTGGGGTCTCCCTGTAGTAAAACATATAGAAGCACACACTCACATGTTCTAATTATAATTATAGGTGTTTTATGGTTTTTCAGTGGCGCCACCATTGCGCTTGACCAAACAAGTACCACCAATCGGTGCCAAATCTCGAGGCTTCCACAAAAGGACGAGAGCACTGCCAGGTTGGGCAGGCCAATCAACCGCGTCACCCCTTGCAGCGCAAAGACATCCATGGAGTCACCCTGCAAATGGTTCCTCAACTGGCATTCTAACAAAATCTCCCAACAAAGACGAGCTCCGAAGTGTCACACGTCCAAATTAAATCCGAAATTGTCGCAAGTTTAATCATGTTTGTTCCACCCACCAGCCCCAAAAGGAAGAACAAATGCAAACTATATATCGAATTGTCTTAGACCTTAGATCTTTCTTCCTTTCCTTTTTTGCCCAAGCAGTGTGGACACACTAGGGGTTCTTACGGTAATGGTTAAGCACCGGTGTCTGATCGAGGTGTTGCGCCGACGTGTCCGGCTAATTCACTGCTATTTCTTCCTCGAAGTGCAGATGTTCGTGGCAGGCACGGCACTTTGTGAACCTCGAAGTGCAGCTTTCGTGGCAGGTGCAGCACTTTGTGCTCTCAGATGCTCACTCTCACTCTCACTCTCACTCACGCTCACACACGCTCACGCTCACGCTCACACTCACTCTCTTTCTCACTCACGCTCAAACTCACTCTCACTCTCACTCTCATTGTCACTCACTCTCAATCTCACTCACACTCACCATCACCTCTCTGGTCCCCAATGCCCACTAGATCTCTAGAGTTTTTGCTGCTACACCTCTAGACCTCACAGACACACGTTTGGGGTCTCTTGCCGGGATAATCTTTGTTTCTATTAGCGATGGCCTCCAACCTAAGAGCGATGGCCTCCAAATTATCTGATGCGTTGTCTCCCACCCATGACCACTACTTACTGCACCCGTGACCTGAAAAAAGTCATTCCGCCGGCTGGTCTGGGAAACCTGAGAGCCGAATATGAACAGCAGCTAGGTCTATCCTATTGCCAGGTTTCATTGGATGATGATCATTAGATTGCAGGCCTTTCTCCAAAATCGTGATGTTCATTGTTTACCGACTGTTACAGGTAATAGGACAAGCCCAATGAACATCAGTGATCAAACCTCTTTATGAAAGTATGAATCTTCCCTCACCAAAGAGGCAACCTGCGTAGGCGAGCAGAGCTGCCCTGAGGGCATCAGCAGAACATTGGGTTGTTCCGTATTTGGAGCTTTCCGGAACAAAGGCATTCTGGGTTCGGATGGGTAGGTTTCTCTTTTACCAAATCTAGCTGCAGGTCCAGGCAAAACCCTAGAGCCGAAGCTGAAACTCTCCTTATAAATGCTGTATAATACTGAGATACTTTGTGTTACATATGCTACTGTTTTCAGCCCGCCTTTCCACACCACACCCGTGGTTACACAGCCGCCTTCCACCTTCTTTGTTCATATCGACTCTGGCCCAAGCGTCACCCACGTTCTCAGTCCGGCGTGCCCAGCGTCCAAGCATGGCCCAAGCTCACCGGCACGTAGACGTAGGAGAGCTGCACGTGTGGCACGTGCGAAGGGCCGGCGTGGCCGTCCGAGGTGCGCGCGAACTCGTCGTGGAACTCGTGGAGTCGTCGGTGCGGCACGTGCTGCAGCGTCTCGGAGCCTCTCCTCAAAAACATCGGACTGCCAGGACGGACTGCCGCCCCAGACAGACCCCCAGTCCATCCCTGGCAGTCCTATGGCAGTCTCAGACACGTCGTGTCTGGGGTTGGAAGGTTGGAAGGACCGACGAGTATGATAATCTGCGGACGTCAGCTTGGATGGTCAGTCCGGCCCTGGACCGTGCGGGCAGAAGAAGAAAACAACCATGAAAAAACAACAGTGTATCTCACCTAACTCGGAGCTTGAGAATGCGCTGATAGAACGTGCTGCGCCACCCCAAATTCAGATACACCAAAATTCTTCGTGTTGGGCAAACTGAACTGTTTGGTATGATTGACTTAGCGCACTGGGTTTGGATCTTTTTGCAGCAACAAATCCTGAATGCAATGGACTGACATGGACTAACGCAAGCCATCCCGGCTCTACATTAGCAACAGAATCTGGAGAAAAAAACGATTTCTTTGGATTTCAAAAGGTGCCCGCTTTAGAACCGCTGCCACCCGGCTGACTATTCTCGTGAGCTACGAACATTGGCAGGCTACACACGTTCGTCGTTTTGGGTGTCGCCCAATGAAACACAGCTCCGGCTCGCGTAGCCCAAAAGGACACCCATCCCTCCATCCCTTGTGGGTGACGGCAGGTCGTCATTCATGGCGGCCAGAAACACATCGTCTCGTGCCCGTCCAGGAGTAGTCCGGAAGTTCGGCGAACGGACCTCGTCCTATTTCTCACAACACAGGGGTCTGCAGTCTGAAGCCTGAATTCAGTAGGCAAAGTGAGAAGAAAACACAAGCGTAACGATTTGAGCAGGAAGGAAGAGGGGTTTGTATGTAATTAGGGGTATGGGCAATCATAAATCATAGTTAGCAAATAATTGCGTCTCTACCTTGCTCATTCTGGTCGATACGGGCATCCTACCGCACTTCAATGTATTCTAGTCTGACCTACTAGTATCTACCAAGAAGGGAACAAAGACCAAGCATTTGGCAGCATTTTAACACATGGCTTTGTCAGGCTTTGTCTCAAAATACGAAAACCAGGAATTAACATCAGCGGGTTGACACCCGGACTACTCAACATTTGGATCAGCGTCTGCACCAGGATTTGTACGCCGCGCTTGGCTGGCAAGCGCTCCAAGATCCTCCAGCACAGCTCTTGTCCAGTGGTGGAGTCAGGCATCGTCAGAGTGAAATGATCACCATCGAGTCCAAAGACCTGGCCATCGCGGTAGAACCACTAGGTCCAGGTCGTGGGTAGATCTATCCGCTGATGGCAGGTGAGTAGATTGATGCATGTTGTATATTTATATGCCTCAAAAGCTCGAGTTTGGGCTTTCTTAGACGAATCCGGACTATGACCTGGCACGGTTTTGGTGCTCTTAGGCTTCATGGGATTGCTTCATGCATCGGTGGAAGCGGTTTGCGGAAATCACAGTTCTGGGGTCACACTGGAGTTTGTTCATCCATGCATGGACCCTATATAAACATATATAAACCACTTAAACTGCGGCCGGTTGAGCACACCAAAACAAACGTGGCAGCTTCGTTTCATATCCTTTCAACCCTAAAGGACCCAACGGAGCTACTCTGGAATCACCAGATTTAGCCCAGCTTCGCGAGCCGAACGCGGAAGCGGAAGCAGATGGTCTCTGGCACTTTTCGGTGGGGGGTGTCTTCTAAGAGTGCGTGGAAGATGTGGGCATTTCAGAACCCCGGGTGATGGATCCACTCTGTGATTCTAGTGGATCTACTGTTTGACTGGGTATGTCCGTTTCCAGATGGATCACGAGTGGAACTCAAGTGGAAAAAGGTCCACCCTGACATGATCCCCGACATCTGAATCCACATGCCCTCCTCCCTCTCCGCTTTCGGCTCTTCACCTGAATCTCCACAGAGCTGTCCAGAAGCATTTCGCTCTTTGTGTAGCCCGCGCGTTGCGATGCGGTGATAGATGAGTCGACTTGAGCTGCCAATTGGACCAGCGAAAGCCAAGGATTGGACCGTAGTCACCGGCTAAATGGGGTGTAGAACAAGGGTAGTCACCGGGTAGTCCAGCATGGCTCACCAGGTGACAGTGATATCTATGCGCAGCATTCCCATGTCGATATAGTTGGCCTAAAATACGGCTGGAATTGGGAAGCTCCTGGAGCTGGAGACGAAATGGATCTGGCCAAGTTGCACCATGCATTTGGGGTTTCCGCTTCCTCCAGGTTCGGTACCATGCCATCCATCCTATGCTTCCTATACCGAAGAATTCACCCACGAGGTTGGTGGTGATTGTAGAGGAAAATCCTCTTCCAAAGGTCCATGACATCCGAACCCCATGTCTTTTTCGGTCTCAACACCCCGGGTGGAGCGTTGCTCGTGTTCCTCAATACCAGTCCGGTCCGGTGAACCGGAGTGCTGCCGGTCGCAATGACGTCACGTGTCAAGAAGCGACGGTTTCACCGGTCGTTGACGTCAAGCGAGAGGGCTGTTCGAAGCGAAGTGAACACGTGAAGAACATGGCTTTCTTTCTGGGTCACTCCACTGAACACGTGGCATCGTGTTGCATACCAGCAGATCCCTGCTGTCAAAGCTAAAATGCATGGATTGGTGGGAAGGGCCTGTACACAGGTTCTTTATTGCCTATGAGGGTAGATCTGTAGCAAAGGAAACCCAAACTCAGCATTGTTAAATTATCAGCAAATCATGCAACATTTGATCATAGTGACCATTTGGACGTGCGAGATAAAGCTCGCAAACATGGTGGCAGATCCAACGTGAATCTCGATCCGGAACCCTATCTTGATCGCTAGTAGCTTGGAGGCCATTGCTCTTAGGTTGGAGGCCATCGCTAGTAGGTTGGACGGAGATTGAACATGATCTCGGGCGACAGTCGCATGCTTTTCTCCTTGCACCAGAGCACTCGCAGAGCACTCGCAGGGCACTTCATGTGGAGTCGCTTCGGGTCAAACCGTCGGTCTCTTCATGGGATGGCATGACCATACAAGCTGAAACCCTCCTCGTAGTAAAGAAGGACATAAATGGATTGATATGTTGACATGGGGTAATACACGCTTTCCTTTTATACAGTTGCTACCTGCCTATATATCTGATAGATCTTTAACAACCAACACCTCGGATCTCTCCCAATTTGCCAAGTACAGTGTCTTTTCAAACGCCTCTTCCATCTTATCCCAAAGGGAGAATGACAAGTGACGATCCATGAAACTCCCCATTAGACCGTTCTCTTCATGTTTGGTGTCTGTGTGAGTGTGTAAGTGTAATCTATTCTTGCTTTATTTAGGTCAGCCAAGTCTGTGACCCATGTTCCAACATGTCCAATCCAACATATGTACAATTGTCTTTCCAAATAGCGTGTCACAATGCTTTGATTTTAAATCAGAATGATTCAGCAGCGGGAAAAGAACATCTTTTACCAAGCCCTCATCTGAATTCTTAGCAAAAATAAGCAAACATGCACATTGTTTGCACGCAGTTCATTAAAACCCCATCCCTCAAAAATGACTTCTGGAACTTTGAACCTAAAGAGTTTAGGACTTGCAAAGCATGAGGAAGCATCTGGCACCCGACTTCTGAGATCCGACCTCTCGACCGGACGTAGTCGGTCCATGTGTTCAGAAGCGGCTGTAGTTCTTTAAGGGCCGATAGTAGGACTTGTCACACCACCTGAAGCAACGGCCAAGCCATCAAAGGCCGGACAACGGGCGAAGCAAAATACCTAGGTTGTTCACAGGATGCGAAGATGGAGAACTGGAAGAGGAGCACAAAAATGGAATTGACCTATTAGCTTCTGTTTTGCTAGGCATATTGAACATTCCCATACAAAAGAACCACCCGCAAACTGAGTGCGGCAAAGGATGATGCTCTACCAGAATTGAAGTGCTTGGTTGATGACAAACATGAAATCCAACACGAAGACTTACAAGATGGGACAACAAAACAAATCTCGCTGGCAACATTGCGGGGACAAATGCTAAATGACCTTGTTGCTTGAAGTCCATCAATGATTTAAGGAAAAAAAAGGAACCAACTAACTTCTCACTACGGTCCCTGCGTTCGGATGAAGCATTGAACACCTTGGCGCCATGTCTTCCGTACATCAAAGCGACCGAACCAACAAAGGAGATGGCCGGGAGCCCGAACCATGCCGCGAACTTCCGCATGTAGCCTGTCACTTGGGCCGGAATTGGGCGAAACACCAGGTGCCCACAGGGCTGGTCGGTGACGGGTCCTGATCCGGGTGAACCGCAGAGTCTTCTCAGAGTGCGAACATCCAGGGCAAGGCCGGGCCGGTGGAAAATAGCAAGATGAGTCCTGATATGTCCTGATGAAACCAAAACAAATGTAAGCAAAGAAGACCTTGATCACTGTTTCTGGACATGCGAAAAAGGGACAGCCTTGCAGCCTTGTATCTGGTTTCGTCAAGGAATTCACTCAAAGCATCGAAGTAGGTGGACCATCCCGTTTTCAAAGTATATATGTTTTGCATATTTTTACATAATATGAATTCTCAGAAACAAAGTATGTCTCATCATGTCTTGGTATCCAGCAATTTGACTCCTGCTATTGCGATCAAATGTTGCTTTTCCACCAGGTGCCACTGGCAGCACTTGTTTCATGCTTGGGATCTGCTTCGCATCCCTTTCCCCTCCCCTCCCGTCCCCTCAGCACCAAACAGCTCCGGAACTCTCTTGAATTTCGGCCCACACCAGGCTGGCCAGGGCCGCTGCGCCTTCACTTCGCTTGCCAAAGCCTTCCACTTGATTGTAACGATGGGCCCTGCAGCAACCGCGGCGCGGTACCGCGCGGTGGTTCCCGCGGCACATGGGATGATCTTCGGCGAGGGCACCTTTCGTGGTAGCACGGTTCCCGGTCGCGATGTGAGCAACACCCGGACCCAGGTGACCATATCCTGAGCCGATTTTGGCTGCCGATTTTCGCGTCCAGAGACCCATCTTCCCTGCACAAGTCAGAACCATAGATTGCTTACAATGTCCCGTCCATCGACCAGTTGTCCTGTCAGAGTCACGAATCTCAAAGTGCCTATAGGCCTAGGCTACGGCTGAACCACATATCTAAATGGCACAACCGTACCATACTGACTCCCAAATCCTCTGTTTCCCGATTGGCATTCCTCACCTCCCACCCTCTCCCACCGCCCTGTCCCACGTGCCCCGGAGCCTCTTGGTGCCGAAGTCGATGATCTTCCGCCGCGTGGCCCAGTAGCCGTGGCGATGGTACCAGCCTCGGTGCCGCCGAAAGGCAGTAGTATAGGGCTGGGTCCGGGACGACCTGGGTCTGGTCGAATGTGTCTCGATGTTGTGTCGTGATTTCTTGGGATTGGCTGATTCGTGACCTCTGGGGTTGTTGCAAGCGAACGAACAAATGTCGCTATAGGCAAGTGGCAAGTCAATATATAGTCAAATGAAACATCTTTTGCCGGTCATGCTCCCTTCTATTTCAACCAAAGCACGAATGAATGCTTGGGAATGATGAAACCCAACATGTGGCTATGGAGAGCTACCACCATCCGTGGGGCAGCCATCCGACGACGGCGTATACCCACAGACAGCGGTGGCGCTGAAGTTCAGACCTGAAGACACCAGTCGTGCGTTTTTTTGTGAGTAGTGTAGAGTGATGCAGCCCAATAGCTTCGCAGAATTGAAGGCGGCTATATAGTGAGCATTGTTAGCCCAATAGGTTCGCAGCAGCCATTGAAGTGGATAGCTTTGCTGGGAGATGTCTTGGCTGAACGGCTGAGACAACACGCATGTGGAAAAACCACCGAACGGACCGGCCGTACCTACCCTCGTGCGACGAACAGGTCGACTTTCGGGTCCCAGTGAAAATCACCCGTTCTTCAGGATCGGATGAAGCAATTACTCTGGGGTATCCCTACACCTCCTGGCCTCCTCAGAAGGTGGTTAGGGTGGGTGTGCGGGGTCTAACCACCTTCTGAGGATATGGTTGGAGCCCTAGGGTAGTGACGAGGCAACTAGAAAATGGTTCGGTGATTGCAATGTTTTTTGTGGATCATATAGTCCGCTACGTAAAGATGGCCAAGTGTGTAAATGCTTGGGAAAGATGTCCCCGGTCCTGATAGTTGATGAAAAACCGTATGTGCAAGATGTAATGAACGCCAGCACGACAAATGGAAGTCTGATCTTTCCACCAGGCTAGAACGGCCTGGTAGGGAGCTCGCATGGATGCATATGGCACAACGGAGGATGCATATATGCACTCAAGAACCCCCCCCAAAAAATCTCCATTGTGAATTGGACTCTTGGGTTCACCAATATGGAAGCTAAATCAAAGAACTTGCAAGCAAAGTTGGGATCCTGTATGACATGGTTTACACCCACATATTGCAGATTCCCAAACATCAACAGGCTCTCTACTCCGTCGCTGCCTTCTCAAACTACCGAGGGACGCCAAAGCGATGGATTCAGGTTGCCATGGACACCGCGGAACAGCCTGCAAAAGAAGTAAACGTATACCGTTCGCCATCAATCACATTCCTATGGTTGTACACTCGGGTATCCCCAGTATCCCCTGCTACTATACAATCAACCAAGCAATAGTCAAATGCCATCTGGTGCTTGCAAAGTCACTGGGTCAAACCCAGTGAGCTGCTTGCAGCCTACAAGTAATATAGTCATTTGGGAGTGTCACCAGTGGTTTTGACGGTAAAACAGCAGGGGATTCACCCGTTTGCCGCGTTGAACCCGCAACGATATTAGTTCAACCATCATTTACTGTTTGTTCACAAATGAGTCACAGCAAATGAGTCACAGCCAAACAGTTCTAAACAAAAGAACAGCCGGTGATGCTCCATGTTCCAACTGTCCAGTGGTCCACCTATCGAATGCATAAAGGCATTGTTCCAACCAGGTCACAGGACCAACCAGTCGAAGTGTCACAGGTGTGGTTTCCACCAACTAATCAAAGAGGTGGAAGAAAGACAACAATAGAAAACAATCATTAGAACGCATGAATTTGCATATATATATATAAATGATTGATTGGAATAGGACAAATAACAATGGATTGATGTATATAAATATAATATATATATATACTATGTGAATGGTGCAGCACATTGTTCAAGTTCAAAAGCACTCTGCCACTTCTTGAACCTATTTGACCTCACCTTCATTCCAGCATATTCCAGCCATCCCCAGGTCACCCAAAACCCAATCCGTCGAACCCATGGAACCCGATTGAAACCGAAGACTGGCCTCTTCTGACGATTCAAGATCCAAATACCGAAGACTTCTTGCGCCGCCTGGTCGACCCACGTCGTCGACGGCTTGGGGCGCGAGCAGTGTCACACCGACCCGGGCGACCCGTGCGACCCGTCGGTGTTGGGGATGCGGACCGCGGTGGGGTCTTCGGGAAACCCCCACAAAAACATCCCATTCCCAAATACTCTATGCAACGCATATTTACCGATCAGTTGGGGTGGTTGAAGTCGGGGTCAATGTAGGCATAGATGGCAGTCCCATGGAGTGTCTGGGATTGGGTTGTTCCCATGGCGCGCTTCCATGGTCAAACCGGAGTCGAACCGTCCGCGGATTCGGGCGGCACTGCATTGACACATACACATGGGCCTGGAGGGCTCAGGAACCTCCTCTTGATTGCAACCTGTTTCGATGTTCACTCCTCACACTATTTGCGACCTTCTAGCTCTTCATTCATCTTGGTCTCAGAATGGGATGAACATGGATGAACTTGCCACAACCATCACAAAACACGCCACCATCTGCACACATCGGCTGGAAAGCCATGTCGCTCGGTGGCCCTCCGCTCGCGTTCTCGACTGGGAGGACCGGTCTGACCGAAAACCGGCCCTCGCGGTCCGCTCAAGTTCGGTCCAGTTTCGCTGAAGAACCAAGTACACATTTGAACATATATACTATTATAATATATAATAAGTAATAATATTATCCATCTCTGATGCGTCCACTCCGCTGTCCACTCTGCTGGAAGATCACACCAGGCCTCCATGGCTTCTGCCGCCTTTTCCACTGCCGCTTGCAGTCCAAGCCGGCTCTGCAGCGCCGACCTGACAAAATCGGCCCTGACTCAGGCCATCCTTCGAGCGTCGAACATCCGTGACACGTGATTCACTGGAAAAAAAGGTACACGACACATACCTAAATAGTTACCTAGAGCCCAACTGACCTCTGTTTTGATAGGAAAAGACCATATTTTGGATAGTTGATCCTCCAAAACAGGGGTCATTCAGGTTCTAGGTATACTATATAATAGATGATTCGTCTCGCATGGCATCACAATGAACAACTCGCCGTGCATCCATTGGGTCTTTTTCAGTGGCAAGTGGCTGGAACATCAACATGCAACCCCTCCTGCGAGCTCAATGGCTTTTCCGCTGCACTCCCCCAAAACCGCTCGCGAATCAAACATCGGCGTCAGCGATCCAACACCACTCGGCACCTGATGCGTCCCATCTCCATCACGCTGGCGATGCGCCTGCTCTTCTCGGGTTCTTCGGAAGCAAACAGATCTTCAGGAGGGATGTCAAGTGCTCAAAACAGGGAACACACATGAATTACTAGGTCGACCCATTAGTTGACTTTGACTCTGTCTTTGACTATGTACATGATTTAGATTTTTTTTTGCGATCATGTGCGATAGAGCCATTGAATCCCATTGGCATGCTCAACTGTGTTCAATCATGTTCAACTGCTGCGGTCTCATCATCTACCAAATTCAACATGTCGCGCATGTCGTCTCTGCGACACTCTGGAGTTGATTGACGTTGTGGTGTCACTTTGCCCCTGTACTGATAAGCCTCCACCCCAAACAGGTGGAGAACCGCTTAGTTAGTACACTACTTCTGGATCTTCTGGGCTGCCGGGTTAGGTCAAAAAAATAAACAAACACTATTGACATCTATGAACTATTATCATCTATTATCCCCACCCTTTGAAGCTGCCATCCGAATCCTCATCACCCCCAAAAATGGTCCTCTAAACCCCCTTCGGCTGCTCCAAAACCGTCGCCGGCCTCTGCGGTTCGGCACTGAAGCCAATCAGCACCGGCTCCTGGGGATGATCCGATCCAAGCGGTCTTGGAGGGCTGGGGGGGCGGGAGAAGGTGTTGCCCTGCAATTGGACTGATACCATTGAGAATGGTTGATTTCAATATATTTCAATAATCGATGGAGAAGTGAAGTGAATCCCTGGAACGGATCCGCAACGAGGTTGGGTTATCAGCTTCGCTCTCCCTAGCAGCTGCACCAATGCAGCTGCCGCACGTGCGGACGCGTGGCCCGTGCGAGTTTGGTGCGTGGCCCGTCGCTCCAGGGCAGATGGGTCATGGAAGAAGAACCTGCCGACGAGGCAGTTTCGTGTCGCGTTTTGTGGGAGGCATTTTCCAAGAATCCTCTGGCAGTGGGGCTTCCACTGTGGCATTTAAGCTTTGATTGTTGTACTGGACGCCTGTTTGGGGCACATCTGGTTTCCACTTTGTATGAATGTATGATTGGCATCTTCCTATCGCCTATTACAATCTCAGATGTCAAACGAACCTCATGTCAAACCAAAAACGAACCGTGTTGCCAACACCGCGGTGGCTCTTCAGGACACCCCAACCACACCTGGATGCGCACTGCCGCCGCGCGGTGCTCGCCGCAATGCGCGCGAAGGGCAGCATGGCTCTCGACCAGAGTGTCAGAGAAGGAGGTCCTAGACCAAAGGGCTGAGCTGTATGTTGACGAAAACCTGTGCAGGGCTTACAGCCAAAGGTATACTTTTCCCACACCGAAGGCCGAAGTCGACTCTGATGTTAAGTGGATGTTTTTGAGCTGAGAGAGTGCATGTGACTTTTGCCCGTGCATCTGGCCTTTTGTCTTACTTCAACACTTTGTCTGACGTGAGATCCACTTGCTGAGATGAACATGAGAAACTGTCCATCATTGTCCTTCATACTGCATGTTCACATGCTCTCCATGTAGCCTGTGAGGCTCTTCTCGTGTTGACATACGATCCTCTTCTCATGCCTTCTCAATTGAAACGTCTCTAGACTCTAGATGTCTTGCTTTGCACCGAAAGCTGCTGCGCTGTCGATCAGGAAAAAGGATCAAAACACAGCTCTGGCTTTCCCCGATCCATCGAACACAATGGGCATGGAAAGCCACTGGCAGCCAAGCACAATCAACCCAACCCAACATATCCAGACACTCCATGGGACTGGAATAGTTATATATGCCTGTAGGCAAATATGGCATACATGGAGTGTCTGGGATATATAAAAATAACAAGAACCACATGCATTATCACAATTGAATAGAGCTCCACCATCTCCACCCAGCAACCTCAACATCCATCCTCCTCCCCCCATCTCCCCTTCGCCAAACTAAGGGAGAATGGCTTGGATTCGTTGGATTTGCCCCAAAGAAACAGGGAGCCACTCCGTGTTTTTGGGCCGATCGGCCCCTTCCTCGCGGTGCCCCCGCGCCTCCCTCTCCGGTGCCCTGCGGTGCCTGCAGAACCGCGAGAGAATGGACACTTCCCTAAAGAAACATAGGGATTACACAGGTGTCCTTAGAAGTTACATTCTGTTCTGGGACCTAAAGTTGCACAGAATTCCAACTTGCGAGAATGGGACCACACATGTTTCCTTACAAGCTCTGGAGCCCTTGCAAGAGTGATCTATGTAACGTAACTAGGTCATGCTGGTCCTTGTCTTGGCAGGAGAGCAAATGTAGCCTCAAAAGTGTACAAGGTGCAACCCTTGTGTCCATGTGGACAGGGCCAGAACTGTGCAGAACCTTGGTGGTCTGGCAAACGACCGGGAGGATGCAACAGGATGCAAACATCACCACCATCTGGTGCACTGAATTTCATGGCTTCTGGCTACGATCATCGAGTGGGACAATGTGAAGCACACGTTTCAGCTCTTAACAAATAGAGGGAGAAATTAAGAATATATTCTCAACATTAAAACAATCCAATGTCTTTCCGCTCTTTTAGATGTCTTTCACCACAAACTGACGCCCAAGCCGTCAAATAGAGGTTCACCCTTTCCAACTGTTCATTGGTTTCTGGGAAAACCAAACATCTCCAAAAGGTACAGCTGATCACGTACTTCCCGAGTAAACCGATCACAGAGCCCGGCACGACCCCTGCAGACCCCTGCGCCTCATGGCCTTCCAAAGCATCGCCCTGAAATCTGAGGTACTTCATCCTGAAGCCAAGAAGCGCACCAGTCGACCATGTGGGCCGTAGTCAAGTATATACGCCTCTTCATCCAGGTCGTTACCTTGCGACATAAGCTACCACAGGTTACCTGTACTACCATGTGGTGCAAAGGACAATGGAGCAGTGTTTCAGTCTCATCACAGAAGAACCATGTCAAACACCAAACTGGATGAAGGCACAGCGCATTGCAGGGCAGGTACGGTATCCCTGCTGCCCAACAGCGAAAACTGAGCAAAAAGAACATGTCAAATCCCGGAAGATTGAAATTGAATCACCTGGTGTGCTCCTTTAGGCTGGCTTTAAGGCCAAGAATCATCAAAACACCAAGCACCTCCCTGATGTTTCTGCGTCTACAGTACATGCGTATACGTTCAGAAGTTTCGAATTGCAAATTGCTCCTTCCAACTGCTTGAGCGACATGCTGTCACTTTGAAGCTCACCCGAATGCCGACCATCCGTCCAAGGCAAACTGCTTTCGCGTCGCCACAGGCCGGAAGGGCCGATTGATCTCGATTGATCTCTATTGGATATTTGCAAAAAGGACAAGAACCAAAAAAAAAAAGTCTTCGCAAATCACCTGGGTATACCATCCTTTTTCTGGTTCTCTTTTGAACCCAAACGAGTCAGACAAAATAGGGATTTACCCAGAACACTCACCTGATCCGCCGGATGTTGTACCTCTCGACCCAGCGCAGCCAGCTGCTTCACCCCCGTCCTCTCCCGTCGACCAGCACCGACCGGCACCGCCTTAAGGGTTCGATGGGAAGTTGCGCTCGGAGGCGTAGACGGTAGGAGGTGTTCTCCTACGGAAGGAGGAACCCCGCGGCGCGACCCACCAACGCGCGCCGGCTGTGGGCTCCCCGTTTTGTGGCAGAAGGAGCGCCGAACGTCGTTTCAGGGCATTGGTGCTTTTCCATCGAAATTCATCACGTTCACTGGGAAGAACTCTTCAGCGCTTTCAGCAGCGCATTGGCTTCCTCCCCATGGCCCCCTCTTCTTCGATGTCTCGGAACTCCTTCCACGGCGTTCCCACGGCCTTCGACGTCCCGCGCCCGAACTCCTCCAGATCCGCAACGGTGAAGCGCACGCTGCTCGAAGAGGCCAAGACCATCTCCGTCGCCGCCTCGGGAAAACCGGCGCAGACGGAGAGACGGAGCCCCCAGAAACGAGTTCTTCATGTTCGAGACATGTCCGGCATTCTTGAGAAACTGAAGCAAACATAAAGCAAAGTTCAGCAAACATTGATCTATGTCTCCTTCTCCATCTTCTCCATTGCAGAAAAATTGTTCAAACATGTTCCAAAGATTTTAAAATTAAGAACAAGAAGCCGGATCGAACGCGTCTTTCTTCCTTCCCGCCTTGAACCACACCTATCGCTTTCCTCGCGCGCGGAACAAACCGCGCTTTCCTTCTCAGAGCCCGGACGCTCCACTGGTCGTCGTCACCCGCTTTGAGGACCTGCGGCATGCTCCGAGCGAATGATGTGGATCTGGTCGAGTCATCTTTGACTTTGCAAAAAGGTTGTAAATCATGAACTGTTTCGTGTCCTAAATACATATGACATGTACAGAGTATACATGTATGTAATGTATGTTTTGTTCTGCAAAGATCCACCACCAAGTAGTGTGGGGTATTGCGAGACCCCGAAAGGAAGGTGCTGATATATTACAAATATATATATATATATATTTATCATATTATCCAGTGGTATTTCGTGCCCAACAGTCAGAATTTGAGTACTATCATGTACCAGGCAGGTTCGACGGAGAGCCATACCCAGCCGGCAGTTCTTCATCTTCTCAGTGTCTTCCTCGCTCCAGAATAGCAACACCCCGTCGCGCAGAAAAGGGTCGCCTGCACATGGCAGCCGACGGTCAACCCAGTGGCTTCAAGCTCCAACTCTCTCAGGCCACGCCTCAAACAGTGCACCCAACGGAGAGCAAGTGGACACTTGGAGAGGCAGGTGTATACCATATAATATGTGCTTTTAAAACATCGCAATTGTATAAACAATTGTATCGACTGTATTGTAAAGCTACCCGATAGGAGACTTGCATAGTTAATATGATCCACATCGAATACGTGATGCAAGCAGCGCGCGACTCAGCTGTAGCCACTGGGGTGGTGCTGAACAGATCAACGCCCTGATCCTGATCCTTCGGTTGCTTCGCTGGGCGGTGTGGGCGGTGCCAACGGATCGCTCCCTTCGGGGCCCCCGTGGACCGGTCATTGGGTGCCGAGCTCCAAGACTCGGAGCTTGGGAGGCACCGATGCCTGGAGACGAACGAGTCGATCACCGGTTGGCCTTGGGACCTAGGAGGTCTAGGAGGTCTAGGTGGTCGGTTGGCCTTCGTTTTCATGGATTCAGCGAGTGGGCTCATTTCTTGAGAAGTGTTTCAGTGGCTTTTCACGTCGTTCACCCATGTTTCACCCATTGAAATACAATTAAACAGGTTCAGTGTGGGCCCCCGTTACACATACTTTATCACTGGGTGCGATTGGTTCTCTGAAAGGCTCTTGTCGACTCAACATGAGCCAAAGAGAACAAATCAACTGAAAGGCCATGTGTTTTTAATTTAAAGTTCTTTAAACAAAAAAACATCTAAATCTTAATGCTAGCTAGGAACCGGAGCGATGAATGATCACCAGCGGTGAATAGACAGGACCCCGATCTGAATGTAGCTGCACCTTTATATGATTAAAGCACACCACTCCTGGAGTCTGTCCATCACTCGAGTCGCTTCCCAAAAATCGTGGCCTTAAGACCTTGGTGGCCTCAAGACCCTTCAAAAAAAGAAGGCCCCAAGGCTAGTGGACAAAGCAAGCACCAAGGCTAGATCGACACGGCTTACAGCTTGCTCCAACTGACCAAGGTTCATGCCTAGCCCAGCTCGGATGTCAGCACTTGGTCACTGATGGAGACCTTAATAAGAACCATTAGTGGTTTCAGAGATTCAATTGGCACTGGCAGCCCCAGGTGACCGGTGCTTAACTGGTTTTTGGCTCCTTCATGTCCACCATCTCATGTTCACCTCTTAGGCTCTGTGCCATGGAACCTCTTAGGTTCCATCTGAAACCGCTCTACAGGGCCCTTCTGCAGCTTCTTGGGGCTACTCCATCCGATCCCTGACTCCAGCACCTCCACCTTGAGGGAGCATCGCACACGACCCTCCTGGCGCAACAATTCCAGGTGCGAACGAACGGAGGTGCCAACCGCACCGAGGTGCCAAGTGGGGACAGCTCCGGACACCCCAAGGTAAACCGCTGGTTCTCCCAGGTGAGAACTGATACTGTCTATAGTGACTTAGGTAGCCTTAGGCCATTAATTATACCGTGGTTCAAGTGACAGACCCAAAGGGCTATCCGTGTTCGTTTCGCCGAGTGTTTCTCAGTTCACACCGTTCGTGGTCTATGAGTGCCAAGCCGCTGCATAGTGATGCAGGACTCGATATGTGGCCGGCCGGTCGGTAAAACAGGAAAGACGCATTTT